GTATTAAATTATTATGTATTACTAGTTGTGGGTGCTACGTACGCACGAGATGATGAGAGTCTGTACGTAGCTAAAAACATGTTTATGTTTGGGTAGACGTATGATTTTATCATGCAATATTTGTATCATTTAAACTCAATTTGTTAGTTTAATTACTTGAATTTATAATGGAAATTGATTTGGGATTATTGTTTGGCGAGATATTTGATAGTTGGTAAAAGTCATGTTTACTTTATGCTCCTGTTCTTATGTTGCAAATATATATATATATATATATATATATATATATATATATATATATATATATATATATATATATATATATATATATATATATAACATTATTATTGCACTCTTTAGCAGAAGCTCATGCACTTGTGATACCGGGTTTTGGGGATGTTCTAGAATTTGTTTATGGTTTTACTTAACATTGACACACTTTTACTTTATATTTTATTTAAATTGTATGTATCTACGATTTTCTAATGAATTAATTTCCTTATCTATTAAGATTCATGATTTCAAAAATAATAAAATGAGTAATTAAGTTGGTAGTTCACCGTTAGCTTGCCTGACGGTGATATTGGGCGCCATCATGACCTATTGTGGGAATTGGGTCGTGACAGAATAGCTCACAGTTGAAACACACTCCACTACCCAGCTTACAAATCAGCTTGGGAATCTCAACTCTTCCATTACCTGCATTAGGTATACCCATTTGATAGAGTCATGTACCTTCATCATGTCAACTTTGATCATGCATCTTGGGGAGATATGTTTTCTATTATAAGATTTTACCAGTTCATGAACCAGAATGATATTATAAGTAATTCTTCTCCCAAGTATGAAGCCTGCTCGTGAATCTAAGATAATACATGCCATGTTTTACTGCAGTCTAGTTGCCAAAACCTTAGAAATCAACTTGTATAACACAGTACAACATGCAATAGGTCTAAAATCTTTCACTCTGTTTGGATTTGGGACTTTGGGTAGTAAAGTGAGGGTGGTTCAATTTATGGCTTTATACATTATTCCTTTTGCAAAGTATTCCTTCAAAACATCACATACTTTCCCTCTGATTATAGGCCATGCCTTTTTATGAAATATTGCATTGTACCCATCTATACCAGGGGCCTTATCATTCCCAATAGAACAAGTTTTTTGTACATCTCATCCTCAGTTACTTCTGCACATAAGTCTAGTTGTTGTTGGTGTGATAGTATAAGCCTATTCCTCATTACTAACCTGTTGACCGCAGGTAATCTGCCAGTTGAAGCTCCCATCAATGATTTGTAGAAATTCACTAGTTCTTCTTTGGTAGCAGCTGCATCAGTCAACTTTACCCTAGCTAAAGAGTTGAGTACTACAATATGTTTTTTTTGGATTTTCTCTTTCATCACTATTGAGAAATACTTGTTATTAGCATAACCTAGCTTGATCCAATTTGATCTTGCTTTTTGCTGTAAGATATTTTCCTGTACAAGGGACCACTTTTCTAATTGTTGCAACCATTCTTTCTCTTGGGATAATATGCCCTCAGTGTACTGGAGGTGTATTTGTGTTTGAAAATCATTCAATGCCATTCTAGCTTGATTTATCTTCTCAGTAATCCCTTTAAACTCCTCAGCATTCAACTTCCTGAAATCAATTTTCAGAGCCTTCATTTTATACCATATATTCTTCATTCTGCCAATGACTTTGTTCTTTACCCATCTTTCTTCCACTATGTGCTTAAACATTGAGTGTTCAGTCCATACATTAAAAAAATCTAAAAGGGACCTTTATGTTTGACACAACAAGTCTAAATGGTACACCATATGAGCATAATCAGAGATAAAAGGCTCTCCATAAGTAGTTACCAAGTGCCCAAATTGAATCATTTCAGGCATCATTCACCAGTACTCTATCTAGTTTGATGCACACTCTATCACTACCTTGTTGCTTGTTGAACCAAGTATGATAGTCCCCAATCCATGACACTTCATTAAGGACAAGTTTTGGCAACAGTCACAGAAGTCTTTAACCTCCGCCAGAGAAACATGTACCTTTGATACTTTATTCCGAGGCTTCAGTAATGCATTAAAATCCCCACTTATCATCCATGGACCATTTATTATTTGAGCAATGACCTGCAGTTAGTTCCATAATGCTTTTCTTTATTCAATTATATTATAATCATATACTGCAGTTACATACAGTCCATACCAGTTTGCTTTCTTTTAACATGACAATGAATAAATTGGTCTTACTCCTCAATTCATGTATGTCATATGCTTGTGTATCTCATAATAGTCAGATTTTTCCATATGCAACACTCCTATAATTTATTATAATATCCCATTTGGGTGCTATCCTGGTTACTACTGCCTTTGCTACACTTTTTTTGACTTTACTTTCTAGTAGAATAGCTATCAATATCTATTTTTCTATGAAGTATTGCTTTATTCCCTTCAGTTTATACCTTTTATTAATCCCCTTATATTTCATATTAACCATGCCATTAATTATGAATACCACGTCCTCCTTTAGCAGGAGACATCCTATTTCCTTTTCATTTTTTTTATTATGCAATGCTTGAATTTTATTCTTTATTGGAACAACATATGTTTTCTGAGTGTTCCCTATTTCTCTATTTTTTGTCTTCTATTTACTTTCATCTGACTTATAGTTTTGGATTTGACTTTTGAATGTTCTTCAGTATATCCACAATACCAGTGGTGCCATCATCCTTTACTTCTTCCCCCTGTTGTTGTGGAAGAGGTCCTTTTCCTTGTTCATAAGTTTGTTGTTGATTATTTTGGCATTATGCTAAGAAAAATACTAAAAATGTACATATAAGCAACTTGCAATTCTCCTCAATTAACCTATATTGAGAAACTGGTTGCTTGCTTTCTCTCTTTAGGCTCTCGATGCACGTTATGCTAACACACCCTGATCGAGAATAGCCATGGTTAGAAGGAAGACCAGCAAAACTCCCGATAGTTATAGTTGGGAGCTCAGTAAGTGCTACGATTATCGCAGACACACTTGAACTAGGAAACACAAAACATATAAATACACCTATTAGGGGTCAATTTCCAGCTAGATCGTTGAAGGTGGGTTAACAACTCACCAATCATGGAGTTTCAAAGAGATTGAACCCGAGTCAGAGTAATTAGATCGTCAATCTACCGTACCTAGCAAAGGGAAAATTCCAGCAGCTACTATGATGAGTACAGAACATGGGTCGAAGGTTTTGCATGTGCCGATAACAGTGGATGTAGAGGGTGGTTCAGATCTGGGTACGAATAAGAAGGTAGAAATGACACCAGAGGAAGTGAAACTGCTTGAAACTCCATGGGCGAACCTGTTTGCGAGAAATAGATCATCAGAAAATGGTATAATGCTCTCTTATATTGCACCAGAAATCACTGATGGTACTTATGTGGAGAAACTTGATAAGGATGCAGTAAAACGTGAAAAAAAAAATGGAAATTTGCCCGTATAGTCTATATACTTGGGAAAAACCTCGGTATAACTATATAAAATATTTTATTGCACAAAATTGGAAAATTTTGCCGAAACAAATATGTATCTACATGAGGAACGGTACTACATTGTTAAATTTCAGAGCATTGACGATTTAAAAGCGATATTAATTATATGGGGGGGGGGGGTTGGTGGTGGTATAGCATCAACAATAGACCTGTGATTTTGAAACAGTACCTGATTTTGATCTCTCTTCAGAGTTCCTAACGGAGATACCACTATGGGTCATTTTTCCCAAATTACCTACGAATTGTTGGGAAATTAAATTCTCGAGTAAGATGGCAAGTGCTATTGGTAATCCTCTATTTACTGATGAGTGCATTGCCAAACAGACAAGGATATCTCATGCGAGGATCCTAATAGAAGTAAATGCCACATACTACATTTATATGCAAAGGAATATGCTGAAGTTTTGGGATGACCAAAGAGTTTGTTATCTTAAACGTTGAAAATTGATTTAATTTATTACACACTATTTTTTTTTTCTATATTACGGAATTAGGATTATTGTATGGGGTGTGTTTGGTACGAAAGAAAATATTTTCCAATTTTCTCATGTTTGGTTGACTTAAATATTTTGGAAAACATTTTCCTTATGAACTCATTTTCCTCCAATTGGAGAAAAATGTTTTCCTTATCGAGAGAAGGGAAAACATTTTCCAAAACTCCTTCTCAAACTTCCCCACCCTCATCAACCCACCCCGCACGCCCACACTCACCCACCCAACCCCACCCCACGCCTACCCACCCCACCCTCTCTCTCAAAAAAGGCTTTTTTATTTCACATTTAATTTTTTTCCGTCGCCACCCACCCTACTACCCCTTTCCCCCGCAAAAAAAT